GTCAAACTTTTGGACCAATAACAACGCAGCTCTGAGAGATCTGGAAAGTCTATTGGAGGGGTGAGCCAATCAGCGGGGGAGAAGCGTTGGAAGTCCTGCCTCCTAAATTCAACAGATTGAAATGTAAGCCTGTCTGCAGCGCCGTCAGGAAACAGATCGAGCATTTTCGTCCCTCTTGTTCCTTATCGCGCAAGAAGATTTTCTTGGACGCGGTTTTGGACAGCGGACACGCTGGACGCGGAGCAGGATCCACGCAGGAGGCACAATCCGGACACCGTGTTCTTCCTTTGCGGTTTTAACACGATGGGTGAGTTCAATGTGGGATCGTTGTTTTTTTCTTGTCAGGGATGCAGCACACGGTCCAACGGCAAGGTGGTCAACTGTAGCGAGATACCGGCTGTATGTGGTGTTTTGGCGGGTCGGGTTATCTGATAATCCAGTGGGAGGACACCAGCAGACTGAATTATGGCATGTGTCAGTTACGCACGAGTTTTGACTTCCGTCTGAAGTTTAGCGCAATAACAACTCTGTCAGCTATTGGTTGGTGCGTTTCACCCAAACAATACACATAACTAAAAGTAATACATTTGTATTTTAGAGTGAAAACTTTTTTTTGGGTGAAAGCACTTAAAAAGATGTGATTTTGCGGAATGATTGAAATTTTAAATGCACGAATAAAACACGTTAAAGAGTGCTGGTTACACAATGCACTTATACATGGCAAAACTTAGAATAAGTCGATTTAAACACTTTTGCCATATTTGAATGAAGTTATACAATGATGTGTTTAAATAGCAGGCCTTTTAAATGTGTGGTTTAACCCGGGTTAAAGCAGTCTGTGGTGGGCCATAGGTCGGTTATGATCGCTGTCTCATTGTTCCGCCGGTTTGTGTGTTTGTTTTCGACACCAGAGCCAGCCTTTGGTGAGGTGAACCAACTCGGCGGTGTTTTCGTGAACGGCAGGCCGCTCCCCAACGCGATCCGGCTGAGGATAGTGGAGCTGGCCCAGCTCGGGATTCGACCCTGTGACATCAGCAGGCAGCTGCGCGTCTCCCACGGCTGCGTCAGCAAGATCCTGGCCCGCTACAACGAGACCGGTTCCATCCTCCCGGGGGCCATCGGGGGCAGCAAGCCGCGGGTCACCACGCCCACCGTGGTCAAGCACATACGGACATACAAGCAGAGAGACCCGGGGATTTTTGCCTGGGAGATCCGGGACAGGCTACTCGCCGACGGGGTTTGCGACAAATTCAATCTACCCTCCGTCAGCTCCATCAGTCGGATCCTCCGCAACAAGATCGGGAATCTGTCCCAGCAGAGCCAGTATGAGTCGGGCAAGCAGGGGCCTCACCCACCGCCCCAACCAACGATACCCTACAACCACTTGTACTCATACCCGACGTCCAAAGTGCCCACTCCCCCTGGCATGCCCACCCTTCCCGGACACATGGCCATGCACAGGATATGGCCCTCCTCGCACTCCGTGACAGATATTCTGGGGATACGGTCTATTACAGAGCAACAAAGTAAGCATGGCGGCACGGAGGGCGGTTGCATTTGTTTATTGCACTACATTTAAACTACGTTTGAAGAGGGTTTTTCGCGCAAGAGTGTGAATGTATGAGAGAGAAAGTGGATGCATTTTTTTTTCCATTTGAGTTACTGTGATTGTTTTTTATAGGCCTCAAAAAGTCGGGATGTTATAAACTCCAAGGTCTCTATGGGAAGAGAGAGAAAGCTTAAATACCAGTTGACCTGCGGCCTGATATTGATTTGAAAGGGAGGCAGGTTAGTCTAGAAACAGATGGTCCGGCTTGCAGTAATAATTAAGAGGCGGATGTGGAATATTAGAGGGACAGCGGAGGGAAAGGCGGTGAGATGAAGTGCATCAAAATGAGGTGTGCTGAATGTTTGCCATGACTTGGAGCCAGACATTTTGTGCAGGTTTTAACCTGGATTTTTTTGTGCTGCACGTGTTGCGATTGTCGCTTACGTGTCACATGCAGGTATGGGCCCCCAGATAGCGTTGGCTTGCACTCATTGTGGCTTGACCACAACTGTTTTGGAAACAGTGAAATGGGATCCGGCATAAATCAGTGTTAATGGTCGGCTCCGTGTTGTGAAAAGGGATTTTCTCAGAGCTTGTTTTCCAGTGGCAGCGAGCGAAGTGCTGTCAGTCCATTGCAAGCGGTCCTGCTGTCAGGATTCATGGGCTACCATGCACACAAAGACGCCCCGGCTCCTCTCCACCGCCATGCGAGAACTTAAATCGGGCAATCTAAACAACACAAATGTAAGGCAGATATTTCACGAGAAATCACATGGGCAGGAATGTGCTTCGAAACGCTGTTTTTCTAAACAATGTGTGCATTTCCAAATGATTAGCAGATGTTTGTGGCAGGTTTTTTTAATGCGTAGTTTTACAGTAGGCCTATACGTTTAAGGTGAGAGCTCTTGTGCACCAAAGTGACTTCACCAGTCAGATTAATAAAAAACTGATTTTTTATATTTATCCTTAATGAGGAATAACAAAAATCAGGACAATATGTACAGGATTACTAATCAGGCCTAGTGATTTTATTTGAGCTGTTTAATTTAACGCGCATGCGGGGACACTGATTTAAAAGCACATTCCATTTCTGAATTCATCCAAAAATACTATTTCCACAAGTACAACACGCATATATTTGAAAAAGCTCTTTATCGAGTTATAACTTTGGTGGGCTTGCCTTTCCCCGTGTAAACGTTGGGGACTGTGTTTAACAGAATATCCATCACGCACAAAGGAGGGAGACGGTGAAAGTAAATCTAATTTGTCCCCCGACAGGAAGACGCTTTGGTGGGCTATAATGTCCCTGACCCACCAGAGAGTCGTCTCACTTCCCCGCCCATCTTCAACTCAATCTGATCTTCAGGGGGAAACTAAACGATTTCGTTTATTTCACTCTGTATACTTGAAGACACGTAAACAAACAAATCACAATGTTCTAAGTCAAAATATCGATCAGAGACAGTTAATGCCTGATCACGATTATTGATACATTTACTGAAACAAGATAATTCATGTTAATAATATCTCACGTGCAAAAAAGTTGAAAGTGTCTCTATAACAGAGTGTCTCACATCTTATGTCAATATTGTACTGGACACTAGAACTGCTTATTCTTGTTTGAATAACGTTTTATTACAACTTTACGCACACGAAAGCCCATTGGACGTTTGAGCTATTTGTGCGTAAAATGACAAATAATCGTGCTTTAGTGCAAAATGTCACAACCTGGCTAACCTGCGCCTCATCGATGCATGAGAGGCAGCGGCCTATGCGGGTCATTTCATAATCTTAAAATCTCCTCTTCCACTCTTCTCTCTCTCCCCCCCCCAGTTAGTGACAGTGCATCCTTTTCTAGCGCCAAACTAGAAGAATGGAGCACTATAAACAGGATTCATTTCCCTCCAGCAAGCTCTCCACTAGTCAATGGCGTGGATACACCGCATTTAGAACCTGAAGCAAAATACACACAGGTAAAAAAAAAAAATGGACACCTCATTTTTTGTAACCTAAAAATGCAACATTAGTGAATAGAGTTTATCCACACTGCTGGCAAGCTGGCTTTTAATCTAACTGAACTCTCGAGTATTTCATAACATTTTAATAATTATCTGGTTTGGAAATTTCACAGCGTTAATGCGCTCCTTATGCTGGCTAGTTGGTAATGGTGCTTTTTAAAATATCTTATTATTGTTCCACTTCCTGTACAGCCTGCTGCATAGTCAGTGAATCATCTGAGTGTAACTCCTTTAATATTTAGTAGCTTAAATAGATTTGGACAGTCTAGATATTATCTTGATCCTTGTTTTCAAGCTCGATATGTTGGGATTTACATTTTTTTTTTATTGTGGAGTGTTTTAACACTCAGAAACTTAGTCAAAAACTAAAACGGTTTCCTGCTAAATTATTCTAACATAGCCCTTTAGGACTTTAATGGGTTGGTTTCAGCGTTGGAATCCACACAGAGTTTGAGCCAAGACATTGAACTGCATAAGGAACATTGACATCAGCATAAATCGTCTTATTCAGCTTTATTGCGAACACAAATTCAGAAGTAAAGTAAGTTTTCTTTGTCTAAAAATAATTGTTGTGCAGGCCTTAACTTTCGGCACATTATTATTTTTAATATTATGCAGAGTTCCACAAAACAATAACATAAATACACCAATCGACGCCGAATTTCACACTAATTTAAAATACTTAGTTTTCCTAATTCTAATTCTTAAAAATACAATTCATTATAAAACCTGAATCTATTTATAGAATTTCTTTTCTCAATCAAAATTAATTTTAGTCGTTTTATAGTCTTATTTTTGGTTTTCCAGAGGGATAACGCATATGTGCGCGTGCATTCGTCCTCGTTTTATCTTATTTTGACAGGGCGTGTGATTATCGTTACATACAAAAGCAAACAAAAAACTATTTCATGCAGCATCATTTATTTTGCCACTTTATGATGGAGGGACGGGGACGACGGGGACTTTTCATGCCCGTTACGCAGAATACTGGGCCGATGCTGTGCGATAGCAGCGCTGCACACGTTGTTAAGAACAAGCCAGAACAAGACTGTCTGAGCGGTTAGAACACCAACCGTACAAAAACAGAAGTGAGCCATTAAATGCAGAAAATAACAACTCTGTAAATTGCAGATTTTATTGCATGAAAAACAAAAGTAAGTAGTGTTCCACCATAAGACTGGAGTATTAACCGAGCCTTTGAGGCCGCTTCAGCAGCCTGCGAACATCTAACGCTAAATAGATCTGCATTTGTTCTTTGAGGGAAACGCAGTAAAAAAGAGATGTCATGCAAGGAGCGTGCTGAAAAGTGTTCAAACTGCAATTCATTTTCTTCGAATTTCCAAAACAAAGTGTCACTTGTCTCCTTCATTTTTCGTAAGGTAGATTGTGTGTGGAAAGATAATTCAAATGGGGCCCTGAACGCATCATCGGCCTAAATCATAACCACTGCTTTCTGTATGAGGCCAGAGGGCTGCGGTTAGTAACATGTGGCCTATAGGCGCCGTTTGGAGGGCAGATGCACCCACGGGACTCTCAGGCTTTTCCTCTGGAAGAAAGAAGAGCAGCATCACTAAAATAGATTTAAGGTTGAGTCACGAGCTCAGTGCGCGCGGCGGCTCGGAGTTTCGAAAACGGTTGAAAATGTCAGTAAAATGGATTACCAGTTTATATTAAAAAGACAAATACAACTGATTGACAAAAGAGCTGTGACACTGTTTACGCAACAAAGTTGGTGAACTCTTCAAGTAAATACACACATATATATGTCGTTTAATAGTTTTACACGCTGAATTAAGGTGCTTATAAATAGTTTTAATGATTTGTTGGAAATATAAACTATGGGATCAGAGTGTGACAAAGTAAATACGTTTGAGTTATAATTATTTGGATGAATGGCGTCAATGCTTTTATTTAATATTCAGTTCTGATTTGACTTGTTCTAAAATATGACTAAGTCAAGAAGCCATCAAAACACCAACACAAAGAAAAATACATATTTTGAGTAAAATGAACTAAGATTAACCTAAACAAATTTATAAAAAAGATTATTTACATACAATACACATTTATTATCTTTGCAGGATAGGATAATATTTGTATATTGATATTAAATAAAGTCTAAATTCTAAGATATAGGAAATATACAATACATTCTTATCCACCTTCAAAGTAAATATACTTGTATAGCAGTTACACATAAACATATCTGTCAGTCTGATAACAGCCATAAATACATGCTTTGAAAACCTGTCTGTGTCAGACAGGTGTTGATTCATCTCTGCAGTCATTTGTGAGGCGGTAGTGTTCTTGATTGCATTATACTGTAGTTTTGTGTGTGACATGTGTTGCTTTTCATTAGTGGAAGATGTGATCATCCTATAGTTGAATTAAGCATTTTTCCAACTGATATAATTGAAAAAAAAAACCCCATTATTTTAGCTCAAAGCCTGTGTGGCTGCTTCTGAAATTAGCTTCAGTATCGTTGAGCCGAGTGAAGACACACAATCACCCACAAACACCAACAGACATCCACAGTCACCCAACACAGACCCACAGACCCGCAGGCGCACACACACACACACACACACACACACACACGCACACGCACACGCACACACACACACAACTAGGTTTCTCTTTATAGTTATGTTCTATAATTGCCACAAATGTCAGCTCAGAGTATAATTTTTTATTTCTATTTGAAAGAAACAGCCAGTGACTGGTGGACAATGAAGTCAACCAAACCAAAAAGATCCCAATTTTAGAAAATAATTCTCAGTAGTCGCAGACCACCCAGCAACAGAAATTCGGCCTCCCTGCTGAAATGCTTTGGTGAATTCCTCAAGTTAAGTCCTGTCGCTGTGCCAGAAAACCAAAAGCTCATTCATGCTCCGGACCCCATGTTTGCCTCATTCTCTATCATATTTCCCCTCTTCCTGCCCTTTCACTCTCAATCTCTCATGACATCTGTTTTGTGGCGCCCCCCAACCAACCGGTCTCCCATCGTCTGACGTGGTATAACAACGCAGCCGGAGTAAACGTCCACTTTTGGTGTAGAAAACAAGTCCCATAGACAGACGGGCAATCACGCATGTATGGTTTTTATCCATCTTTAATATGTTCTAGGGGCACGAGAGCGCATAATTGATCATTCATGCTTTCATCAAAATTGGGAAAATGTTTTTTTTTTATGTGGTGGCTGTGAAGTTAGAATTATAGTTTCTGCTGTTTTTAATTCAATCACTAGTGGAATCACTTTCCCCTACAGCTTGCTTCAGCCCTTTTCCATTATAACTCAGCAGCTTGTGTGTGTCTACCTGGGTTGGGGGTCACCAAACAATGTAGCTAAAAATGAAAGTCTTGCTTCTTAATCCGCAGCCAAGAGTAGCTTTTGTGGCAGATCATTTTAGGTTTTCAAAGCTGAGGTAAATCACAGACTGAAAATCCCAATCTGTGATCTCTACACCGAGCACGGGGCCCGAAAGACAAGTTGTCAGTGACCTTTCAGACATTTAACGCAGATGTTTCTCTCTCTTTTGTTCCCAGACGCTGAATGGCTTGCCCACAGTGAACAGCTATGTCACAGCACCCAGCATCCCTCCCTAGCACCCTCCCACCACCCAAGTGTCACCCTACATGGGGTACAGCGCCACCACGTCGGCCTATGTGACCGGTCCCACATGACAGCCGCCCAGTGGCAGTGCGCTATCTCCCCACAACTGTGACATCGCCACCTCTCTGGCTTTCAAGAGCATGACAGCCAACCGTGACGCCATGCACCCCGTCACTGCCTCGGCGCTGTGAAGTCAGACTGATGGGAGAGAGCGAGGGAAGGGGGAGGAGGAGGAGGGGGGGGCTTGAGAGACAGCGAGGACAGGAGACAACAAGTCTGTCCCCTGTGGCTTCATTTCATTCCCGCTGCCTCTTTCCCATGATGGACTCGGCCCCAGGACCCATATTTGTGCCCCCTCCTCCTCCTGCTACACACAGTCAGACCAAAGACACACAAGGAATAAACTGTCTTTTTTTTTTATTTTTTTTTTTTTTTACAACAAACTTGTTTGAAAGAGCTTGCAGGACAGACAGGTGTACTGAAGGACTGATGTATGACTGCTCCTCTATCCATCAACACAATTCCTCACAGATTCTTTATTGCACACTTCTGCAAATGTCTTTGGGCGAAAAAATGGGGTAATGTATAACTTCACAAGTACGCAATCAAAGAGGGGAAAAACTTTGCATTAGTGTTTCAGGGTGCTTAATAATTGTTTTTTTAAATATATATATATATATTTGTTTGTATGCTTTTTTTGTGTTATGTTTTGATAAAAGCAACTGGCTTATGGAGCATTGTTTTCCCACTTCTCTAAAAATGTACCTGTATGCAAGAGCTCCAGAGAGAAGTTTATTTATTAGATTAAGGTACGTTGAATGAAGTGCAACTAGCCTTACAGACAGCATGGGAATCTCCACGTACATTTAGAGACAAAATTGGCATTGGTCTTTTGTTGGAGGCGAGAGCATTAACAATTGACAAACGTTGCACAATGGAATTGAATGTATCTTATTAAATTGTTTGGCTGTTATTGGTCTTCATGGAGTCTGCCGGTTGTCTTGTGGGAATCAACCAACAGTTTTTATTCTGAGATCAATAGACGTATACAATATTTATCTTCCCTCTCCCTTTCTGTTAGTAGATAGCTTCAGGTATATTCAGGGTATTGTAGCCTGCCGGCCTGTTTTACATGAGCAGGAAACTGCTTTTCATAAAAAAAAAAAAAAAATGCCAGGCCTGCATTTTCTATTACCGAGCGTCACGGCTTACTAGGAAAGTTCATCAGAAATGCTTTGAGCAGTCTTTGTCACCACATAAAGCAATTCTTTAAAATGTTTGAGTCACTAAAATAACCTCACCTCATTACACTTAATGTGGCCCTTTCTATATTCATAAACATTTATGCCAGATTATTAGCTCAATGCTAACGAAATACATGGTTTAAACAAATTAACGTGTTTATGAATATACATACTACAAAATGCTATTTTGCACATTTGTTTCTCAAATAAACTTAGGGTCTTTTATTTATATTTAAAAAAAAAAATATGAAGCTCAGTATTACAGAGATAAAAATAAGAGATATTTTCTAATATTTAAAAAAAAAGATTTTGGAATTCATTGAAAAGGCTTTCAGTAAATACCTTATAAGTGAGAGTGGTATGATTTTGAAAGCCCTGCTATCTTTTGTAAACAATAGCAAAAGTCTAACGTCAAGCATTATAATTTAAAGTCTTTTTTCAGTTGCATCTATAGGCGTGTGCAAGACACAGTAAATCAGAACACATAACATTTGAGATCTGTGAGCGGTAGACTCCCGGAGCGAGGTGGAGTCCGTGTGCATTCAGAGCTCCACAAATAGGCTCATTGGCCTGCAGTCTCCAAGGTCATCAGACATGTGACCCAAACACGAACCTCCAGCAGCCACAAAAAGGCCCAAACAGGGCTCGTCGAGGCCGACTCAACGTGTTCATTTACAAAAGAAAAAGCACACGGCCCAGTTGACAAATGACATGTTTGCAAAAATGATGCAAAAAATACTTTCTGAAAGTTTTGAGGGGGGAAAGTGGAGTGTAATAAATTATGAGTGTGTCTGGCAAGCCCTGTCTAGCCCTGCAGTGGAAACCAGATATTCAAACAAACTGGGCTCCGGCGTGGACGTGAAATCACAGATTAATAACTTGATGAAACTGCTCACCTGCTCTTTTACATATAGCATTACCTGCTGCTGAGCGTTCCGAGGGTGGTTGCTTTAGTTATGTTTCCAAACCTCCTGTGTTACAGTGTAAACAGTCGCCCCCATGCGACAGTGTCAACATTCTCCCCGATGCAGGGGCTGATTTGACTTGGAAAGCACTCTTCCCCGCATCCAGTGGTCACGGACCGTTGCTCACGGATCGTAGTGTTTCTTTGACCGTATGTGAACCACATCACAGGGACGTGACGATCATGCACTCGCTGTACCAGCCAGCCCTCACGGCCACCCCTTTACCATACATCAGGTACGGTAAATGAGGGTTGACTCTCGAGTGGCATGAAAAAGTCGTTACATGCTTCTTCTTTTTTTCCCCTCCTTTTACCTAAGCCTACACGCAACTACTCTTCCTTTCAACTAAGCTTCACGAACTGAGCACAGCCTTGTTAGTCTCCTCTGACGCATGCACCAAAATTAAAATGTGGTCGTCTAATTGACCAGTATTTAAAAAAATAGGAACAGTGTGTTCTCTAGACAGGAGGAATAGCTTCTCGAAAGTCTAATAATCCATGCTCTTGCAGTCTAATGTTGGTCTGTGGAGGCGAGGGCCTACGAGGCGTAGTTTTAAAAATAGGGGCAGACACGTGTTTAGAATTAATGATGTCGAGTCTGACTTCAGTGTCATATGGTTATCTTTACTTCACCACATGCAATCAGAAACAAGACAGCCATGCAGAGTAACACAGAGCAGAGTACTGGGTGAATACAGAGCCTCGTGCGTGTGCCTGCTCAATGAACATTTCCAAAAGAAGCTGACAACAGCCAGAATGTTTTCTTAATGCCTTAAAACATCAACGTTGAGCACACAGGTGAGCAAAAATAATAAAAAAATTACTGGGCTCGGGAAAATCACAACATGTCTGGTTCTGTGTCTTTGGTATGTACATCACACAGACACGAATCACTGCTTCTTACATGTAGTGTAAATCCTGGACACTTGAATCTATATTAATCATTAGCCACATTGGGAAAGACAGGCACGGCCATGTCCTAATTGCAGGCTTGTCTAAGTGGAGCCACTGAATTGAGATGTTGCCGGTGCCGATGAGGAGCGTACATGGACGGGGGTGTAAGGAAAATGAAGACAAGGGGGACTTTGCTCCAGAAGATTTATGATGAGCGCGGTGTGTGCATTCAGGTGAAGGGTGGGTCCGTTGCTTAGCTACCAGCAATACACGCGGCACATGTTGCAAGCTGTCAAGTCTGAAACAAACATACACATTCAGCACTCCATTACAGAAAGGACAGGTTAGGCGCTTACAGTTCCATCAGTCTGCAAGCCGCAGTTGTTAGGCTATCACCAGAGGCCCCTGGGCAAAAAACTAGGAGCCGTTCCATTTTGGCTGAGAGAAACTGCCTCATTAATGATGACTGTCAAATACCAACGTGGCTCAATATAAGCTACTGCCAGATGAGGTCGAGATGAGTCTCTCATAGGGCAGCCATTACCCCGAAGGCTGTGCAACAGGTGTGTGTGTGTGTGTGTGTGTTTGCATATTTGCATAAGAGATAGAATGGCAGAGTGAGAATGTGTGCTGTAACCCCCCCCACCACCATTCCTGTAGCCACATTTGCTTTTCTTGAGCTTGTTGTTTTAGCTTGCACTAAAACTACGCACTGGCACCTAATACAACTTCTACAGCTGACAGGCTCTCAAGAAACGAAGTGCTCTGATGGCGGGGGGGGGGGGGGTGAAGAAGTGGTAAAGTAAAGGAAGGTGATACGCTTGTATCAACGCCAAGCTGAAAACACTCCCAGTGAGACACAAACACGCAACAACACACAAACCTACGGGACACACAAGTGCTCGACCCAACGCACAAACAGTGAGGAACCCAGTGAGGAGTTTAATAGACATTAAAAATGTCTTACCAATCAAAGATTTCATATTACAGGTTAGGTTCATAAAAACATCAGTCATGCAGAAGGATCTTCATTAAAAACCTTCTGCAACAGGCCATTACAATATCAGTGAGAAGAAATGATTTGACACAGTAATTATCAGGCAGTATTGTGGCTATTTGGTTTGTTTAATATACAGAGTAAGGCCGAGTATTATAGATGTGATCACAGTGTATTTAAGATGTACATGAACACACACACACACTATATTTGTGTGCGTATAGATAGTCCTCTGCTGCTGCGTGCACTGTAGCTGAATTTAAAAGCAGTTTATATTACTATTATGTTATAATAATAGTAATATATCTTAATATTATTAAGATACGAGTGACGTTTGATAGATATTCATGATCCACTGAGTCCAGCAGTGCTCAGAGTGAGACTCATCTAAACTCAGCATGTGTTAGTTTCATCATATTTGTCATGTACTCTGCAGCTATATAATCATCATCTATACTTCAGTTTTTTGGTATTTTGTAACCATGCCTTCATTCCGTTCTTGGTGTTTCATTTAATTTGAAACTGAACATTATAACCCCTGAAAACTCGGCTTCAAAAATTTAGCACGATAACATTAAGTATACATAAGCTACTTCGTAAAAGCGTTCTTAGTTATTATTCTGTTAGGACCCAATTAGTAGGAAGCTGGTTGAGACAATAGGTTTTCAGGGCCTTTGATCCACGGTTAAAAACCTGTTTTCTAGTAAAAAAGTACTGGTCAATTTTCAAATAATGCAGCCGTTTCTAATTCCTGAGAAAGTTACTTCGATGAAGATGTAGTTTTTCCTTAGAAAGCAGCATTGGACACATGGCAATGCTGATGTGTTATTTTGCAGAGCAGTATTGTGTAGTCAAGGTAAAAACAAACAACGTATTTGGTCTGACTTCACTGGAATCAGTTGACGATATTGGCGACGAGCCACAATCCACAAGGCACTCTTTTGGTTTTTTCTTTCTGTGCTTTTTTTGTTTGGTTACCAGTTCTTCTGTAGCCACCCGGACACATATTCATAGACCAGCAGCATCACTGCTCCACCTGAAACCGAACAGAAGACAGTGCCAGAGTGAATCAATCCGTGTTTCCCTGCCAGTCAATGAGCAGGGTGAATCAATCATCAGGAAGTGAGCTTTAGCGTCATGTGTGGGCTTTCTGGGAATTTCTGATTATAAGGACGATTTAAATACCAACATAAATAACTTTTTATTGTTACCTGGTCCAAGCCTCATTATCTTGGGCACCAACCCCTTGTATAGTGCAAAGTACCTACAGAAAAAAATAGGATGTTAATTATGTGCAAATACAAAATACCATAGCTACATATGTATGCCTTCAGTGTGTGTACTTGCATGTGTGTATAGGCTGGAGTGCAGCAGTGAGTTCTTGCCTTGTCTGTCCGTCTCTCACCCTGTCGTCAGGTACACAGTTGAGGTCTAATGACCAGCGGGGGGGGGGGGAGTACCTTTCTCTTAATGCATTCAAGGTGATCAGTGGCTGCCTGCCTCCACCTCGTGCTCCCTGTCCCGCTCCCTGCCCCCGCCACTGATGGCGTTAATAAGGCTCGACCCACTTCCTCCCTGGCCCTCTGTCTGATTAGATTGACCCGTGGAGCGCCGCGCGGCTCGTTAGGGTCTGCTTAACGACGTCTCCCATAGGGACCACTAATTAGCTGGGACTGTGTTGTGTTAGAGCAGGGGACTGGATGTGGCGGAGGGGGCACCCTCCATGCACCCCTGCGACGACAACGTTTCAGTGCCGTTCCTGCAGCAGCCCCCGAGGCTCCTTCGCCAACTAACTACAAACATCTCGCTGGCCCTTGTCTAGTGGAGCTGCATGGGGGAAAGTGGAAAGCCGAGGGCAATAGCTAAAGTAACATACACCTTTTCCTTGAAGCCTCCATTTAGAGCAGCCATTCTCCGAGGCTTGAAAATATGTTAACATTTACTGTACGTCTGACAGAATGCAGAAATGTATGTTCACACACGTGGGGAACACAGCCCGGCACGTAACGTCACTATTTAGCTTCCATTTATCGGATCACAGCTTTGCATCAAGCTATTCATGCACTTCTCCTGTAGTTAGTGCAGGAAACTCACTCTGCACAATGAAACGCTGCTAACTTGTAGCTGCAGCTGGTACATTTGTCTTTTCTGACAGCTAGTTTGGCAGGCAACCAGCTATCAATCGCTAACAAAGCAGACAAAGTGCCTCATTAATTCTTGGACACATCAGTGCCAATGTTTCATTTTTTTCTTTTTACTTATGATCCCCCCCCCCCCCCCCTTGTTCTTACCCCTCCTCCCGGTACACCAGTGCCATGGACTGGAAGCAGGTGCGGTACTTGATCTCCCCGGGCACAGGCTGGGGGCCCTGGATGCGGCTCTTGGCTACGTCGAAGGGAATGTTCACGCAGGAGGAGATGGTTCCTGACACTAGGCCAATAGCAAACTTCCTCATGAACTCCAGGGTAGGGTCCTGGTAAGGAAGAGGAGACACCGGATCAAAACGAAGTATGTATGTTCAACGAGCACCATTTTACCAGGTGTTAAATATCATTGCCCAAAATATAAGAAGTGAATATAAATTCAGCAATAAAGAGAAATAATAGTAATGGAGTCGCTGTGCATGTACTGTATATGTGAGTTAAAGTGGGGGAGAGCATGTCTTGTGCATATGACTGCAAATCTGGCATGAAAGCCCTGATCATTTTATGGTAGCGGGGGGCAGATTAGTGCTTCCTGACTGTGGTGCAGCATTCTGATTGGCTGAACAGAAGCACATGTTCTTTGGGGAGCCAAGATAGAGGATTTATAAACAGGGTGCATGCAGGCAGACTGGGGAGGCATATGGGGACAATTTGGGTAATTGGGCTGTGACTCGGTACAGGGGTATTACTGTACCAAAGAAGCCCAGACTCAGAGAGCTCTGACAGCTAATTGGCCGGGATATTTTTACAAATGACAGCAGCCTCTCTGGTCCAGGCCTTTCTCAAGCGGCTGGACACCCTGAGAGTCGAGGTAAATCAACAGCTAATCCCACTTCTTCTTCTTTTTTTTTCAAGTGGGATGTGGGAAAGGGGGTAACATACCCTCAGCCTAAGTACACCCATCAACCCACTTCCTAACAGTCTTAAGCAAACATCTCCTCACACATTCACTTGTGAATGATGGCAGTGTGCTATCTGCCTCCTCTGTACCATTAAAATGAAGATATGAGAGAAGCCTGAACTCGGCCAGCTTAATTTGACTATGAACATGTTTGAGTTGCAAGCTCATTGCACATGTTGCTGACAAATGGGCTTTGGAGATACGCCTCTATCAGCCTGTAAGCTATGGCAGGCCACAATATTTATCCTTTCCTCCCTCAACAATAGTCGTTGTTAGCCTCTCACAAACAGGATCATTCCATCAACGTACATACCGACGGGTAATTCCCAAAAGCGACGGCCACAATCTAAGAAGAGAGCTATTTGGGTCATCCAGCCACATAATTATCATTCACAGAGGATGACCACTTGCTTCTCTGTATATGCGTCACTGGAAACATGTTGGAAATATAGCAGGGCTTTGGCTCCCACTGTAACTGTCTCTTGAAAATGGTACCGTTGCCTGCTTCCAATTAGTTCATTGGAGTTAATCTAATGCTCCGGTTTGTACATATGGAACTGCCGTATGGTAACGTTTCCATTAAACAAAATTAACTTTTGTTTGGGCCATCCCTGCCGGATGTGTAATCTGAAACTTTGAGGATGTTATGACGAGCAAACAGACGAGGTATTAGCGGGGCTGATCTTACAAGCTCCTCTCTGATTTTTGCTTCCTCCTTGCCGTGGCGGTCAGGCTAACTAATTACACTATCAAACACTTGCAATCCCCCAATGGCGAGGTGGCTGGGACACGCGTGTATCATATAGCCTGAAGTTAGCAAAAATTATATTTAGTCAAGATTACAAACACCAACGCAAAGCTGAAGTGTCTGTCACTTGGCTTGGGTTGCATTTTCACCAAAAACCAAAACAGCACTGGAGGTCAGAGTGCGATTGTACCGGGCTGGACGGAATAGCATCCTTGACGTTGAAGTAGAAGCCAAAGTAGATCATGTTGAAAACTCCATGGCGTCCCAGTGTCGATGTTAGTCCTTTATTCAGGCCCCTCAGTCCAAATCCGTCTGAATTAATTATGCGCCTTGCTTGAGCGAATGAAGAGAGTTGCTGTATTGGAGAGAGGGAAAACAAAAGAAGGAATGTGTCACATGCTGGCGAAAACCCACTGGGCATCTAGAGAAACACACTACGGTATTTTATATCTATCAACCTTCGTAAAGGAGTCTCTGTTGGCCTGGAGACTGACTTTCACCACTTCGAACGGATTGACGACAACGGCCTCAGTTAAGCCTGCGCCAAGCCCCGCTACAGACAGCGCCTGGAGGGGAGATGGACATGATTCAGGGTTGAGAATGTGCAAATAATATTCGACAATTTTCCTCACTGTCTACATGAGTTTGTCTACTCTGCGCTGTCTCTACCCAATGTGTCTGAGCAACAAGAGCTTAATGGCGAGGCGCAGTTGCGCTTTCAGAAACTTGTTCCCCGAGTTGTTTTTGTCTCGTCTAAAGTGGACATTTGTTTCTGTCAGGCTTGTGAATGGTGTCATGAGACAAATGTCTGAAGACACCTGTGTTCGTTATCATTTGACAAAATGTTAGATGACAGACAAGAGGGCGAAGAAGGTCAAGGAAAGGAGAGAAAAAAGGAATGTGAGCAAAGTAGTAAGCTGTTTAAGATTTATCTTTAAAAAGAAGAATAATCACTTATTTTCTAATAACCAAAGCACTTTATTTAGTGCCACCGGAAGAGTCCACTACCTATTCATAAATGTATAACCCTGACATGTAATTAAGAGTGGATGTTGCAACAGTACATGTATTTGCATGGGGAAGCATACGCTTGCATGTGCGCGTGGTCAGAGAAGCGTAATGGGAACATGTCAAGAACGTGTCTATAGCTCATTACTCTTCCTGCCTCTTTATCCTGCTGTCAGGGCCCCGGGACCCATCCTCTCAGACATGCCTCGCAATGTTTACACAGCCAGCCAGCCACATTTTAATTCCTTATTTGTATTATTACTGTGTGTGTCCTCATTAATCAGAGTGAAGGCATTCAGCTGTGCCGCGCTGAATAGGAGAGAAAGAGAGAGAGAGCCATTCAGAACCAATCCTTAATTCACTCGCACTAATGATCTTATGTGATTACAGTACTTGATACGCGAGGGCCTCTGGGGGGAAATGGGGTTTGGAGGCACTTGAGGAAGAGGAAGAGGAAGATGAAGAGATAGAGAAGGAGGTGGACAGCATGATGGATGGAACAGGTAAATATTTCTCCACCAATGGCTGTGAAAACAAGACGAGGATACTCGCCGTGCCGGGGCGGCCTCCACGTTGAGTTACAGGTAAGCCATCCATCACGCCTGACAATTGGCTGCCACCTGAATACATGGTGTGTGTGTGTGTGTGTGTGTGTGTGTGTGTGTGGTGACCGCACCCCAGCAACGCAGATCTGTCGAGCTCAAAACTCTGACTCAGTATAACAGAAACCAGATTGGTCGAGAAGGATGAAACTAATTGTAGATTCATGGCCTAAGGGGTAACCATTTTCCAGAATTAACAACCGCCAAGCAAACATACATAAGAGACTGTTTATTAGGACAGTGTTATAATTGCCATTATTTTGGCTTCACTCCAATACTGACTTTGAGGTTTCAGTTACCAATTTCAGCTACAAAAGACGTCTTAGTGTTCACGCCCTTTACCTCGAGTACTACTCATTCTTTTACATTTAATTACATTTACATTTCATCAGGAAGTTACATTGAGATCGAGATCTCATTCACAAGTGAGACCTGATTAAAATAGAATGAAAATAAATAAATAATGATAATGGCAACAATACAAATATAGTGAAATAGAAAATATTTAAATATACATACAAGACCATGACAAATTATAAATAAATGCTTTCTGAAACATCCTGAAACAAAAATACAAGCATATCATATTAATCCGCCTCACCAAAAATCAATAAAACAAATGTTTTGAATTGCCCTGTCGATATCAGTGTGTCAAGCTTCAGTCTAAATGATTCCAGACAAATGGGGGAAAATATTTAAAGGCCGTCTTTCCAAGATTATAATTTACTGTAGGAATTCATACTGTAAGCCAGTCCCAAGAACGGGTGTTAAAGTATAATATCTTACAAATAAGGTGGTCACTTTTTAAACAGTTCTTTATAGTTAAATAGATTAAAGTGCTGATCTACCTCAGAGAGACAAAGATGGGTGCCATATTGGTCAGTAATAAATAGAAGAGCTGAGTGATATGATAGCATCAGGATGATAATGATTATCGTTGACATAATTCAGCACAGAAAGAAATGTCGCTTCCACAATCACTGTTCTACAATAAAATGTGAAACAGGACTCATTCTGATAGAAATGACACACAAAAATAAAAATCGCATCCTTAAAGGGACAGTGCATAGGATTGGATTGAATCTAGTGGTGTGGTTGCAGATTGCAACCAACGGAATACCCCTCGGCTCACTCCTGCCTTTCCAAGACGTGAACCGCCAAGTGCAAAACCTTGGTATTGTTGTTGGCCTCGCTCAGAGGCCATCCTTACCGTAGTAACTATACTTTAGGAGCGATGGAAGTCCGACGGCAGCTGGCAGCATCACGGTTTTGCACTCTGCGGCTCACGTTACACAAGTTTGTTTCACAAGCGTGTCGGAGAACTACGGTGGACTTTAAGTAACATAAAAATGCAAAAGGCGCTCGCTAGAGTTGGTTGTCCGTTCAGGGCTACTTTCGAAACATTTTTTAAATTCCATTTTTGCGAATAGATCCCCCAAAAAGCTACACACTGTCTCTTTAATTTAGAATTAAGTCGATTATAGGGTTACAAAAGTGCATTCAGCATCAATCCAGATGCCCAAGTATCTAATGAGGAACTTGCTCAATCAGTGTACCATTTAAAGTGCAGATTTGAAGACTAATGTCAATTTCCTTTGTTTTATCTTTACTCAAAAACAAGTTTAAGGTTGAGAAGTGCATATGGTAGAGTATTAAATGAAAGGTGCAGATTATCAAACTGTATGAAACAGTACAATCTGCAAAAAATGTAAATTACAAGTATTGATTGACATGCCAACGTTATTAATATCATAGATATGCTCATTTTAGAATTGGACGGCATTCATCCACTAGTAAAAATCATATTTGGTATTAGCTTGTAATGTTTAAGGAGGATTACATTTGCCCATGCTAATTACGATACATCTTTCTCAGACTTAAAGCTCATAAAATCAAAAGAACACAATGCGTCTGTCATAAAAAACAGGGCACCCGACAAGCTGCCAATTACTCTGACTTTACACAAACTATTCCTCTGGCTGCTCTGTGCAGGTTCAGGCAGGAACATGTGGTCATTAGTACCGCCCTGATCAGCTGATTTTAAATGAGACACTTCATAAATTCCTAAATCTAAGTAAAACTAAAACTTTCAGGTTCCGTTTAAGAAGTAAGAAAAAAAAAACCCCGGATCCTTTTGTTCATTTATACCTGATATTTGAATGCTTTAGTTAGCCATCAAGGACGTTTTCATACGTGCTTCAAACCTAACACAAGTGTTATTTCAGGCTCTCTTCACTTAATCCCTACTTGAGAGGTTTACTTTCTAACCTGTCCAATGTGAGATGACCTTCTGTTTAGTGAGTAAAGGCAATTTTACATTACTAAAAATAATAAACTCGAACAAAAGCATCCAACAAAACAAAGAGAATGTCTTTTTTAAAAATAGCAACAGCAGAAACAGCATGTTAGGGTTCTGCTCAGCAGGTAAAGACATGAATGTAAAAAGTTAACTAAATTCTCCAAGTGTACTCATGCATTACCTGTACTTTTACATGACACGGTACTGAAAACAGTACGTTCACTCACTACTCTGCATTGACAGGAAAATTAACATTAAATTATTCTTGGCATTTATCTTTATTTCACCAGCATTTGGCAGGTGAGTGGAAATGTTGGATTTTTGACACGCTCTTTCTGGTCCTGTTGATTTTTCAGGTGAGAGTGTATTCAGGTGTCTCTGTGTGTAAAGACTCACCAAACCAGGAGACAAAGGGGTCAAAGTCAGCAACTTCTTGTATTGCTCAAAAGTGAAGAACTGCAGAGGGAGGATCAGGAAAGACAAACTGTCAGGAAGTCGCACCACATTCTTAAACTGACATCTGAGCACACATACACACCCACGTATACACACACGATTAAAAGCAGTGACTTTAATAACACTTGGGAGGAAAGGGGAACTCGTGTGAGCATTGTATCGACTAAACTGGCGCAGGAACATGAAGCAGTATACTGTGAATCTTAGAGCACAGTCTCTGTGGAAAGAGAAAGGTCTAATGAACATTCTGAAAAGGAGACACCACTGATTTGTTTATCCGAGCAAAGGGCAAAACGGCAGCAGATGCATTTAAATCGCTTTAATTTGCTTAAATTCTTCACTCCAGACGTTGCTCACCATCTTTGTTCGGTGTGTGAGCGATTACCCCATCTTCTCAGTGTGAGCGTTTATTTTTTAAAGTTCACACATCCTCGTCTCCAGTATCTCATTACAGAGCAGTGCCATGCCAGGCATTAAGCCCTCTTTGTGTCACCCCAATTATACGTTGTAAGCCTTCCTAAAGCACATATGAATAGATGGAGGCTCAGGGGAAGGCTTGATGTAAATGGTTGTAAGTCAATATTTAGTAGGCCAATAGTACAAAAGGGAGTGGCTGAGGCACACATGGCAGAGGACTTCATGTGTCACCTTAGAACAACTGAGGTTGGAGTGTTTTCAGACAGCAGTTCACGGTTAAACAGGAGCCGGAGCATTGCATCATTGCGCAAGAAGCTCTGCGGGTTTCTATGAATCAACACGAGCATCCTTTTCCTCACCTTGACTGCTCTCTTTGGGGTCTCTGCCACAATCGGAGGAAGGATCCCTTTGTAGAAGCCCAAGAGTCTGTAAAGAGAGAAAATAAACACGTTACTGTTATATTATGATGACGGTTGTTGTTGTATAACCTTTATGACTTGTCAAGTTCCACCAGGATGTAGTCAAGAGCTGAAACAATTAATCGCCGAGTTGATCGACAGAAATTTAATCAGCGAATACTTTGATAATTGATTCATCACCCAAGTCGTTTTTTAAAGCAACATTGCGAAACTTGACCAAGTTCTAACATCTCAGTGAAGATTTACTGCTTTTCTTTGTCAAATGTGATAGTAAACCGAATATTTAGAAGCTTTGGACTGTTAGTTGGACAATACAAGCCATTTGAAGATAATCAATCAAGAGAATGGACAGATAATTGATAATGAAAATAGTTGTGTGTTGTTGTAAAGTAGTGATATCATTTAGAAAGTAGGCCTTTTGCAAACATTCCAGTTGTTTTGCATGCGCTATTCCATTTACTACAAATGTGCAGTTTACTTCACATCGGGGCTAACGATGCGTTTGCTATGTTTCAGATCTCTGGCCGTATTCATTTTGTCATTCAAGGCAGCCGTTGGTTTCCATTCATATCTGTAGGATGTTAAAATCAATTAGAACATTTGAAATCCACCATTTCAGTAGATTTGTTCGTCACTGTTATCCAAAGCGACGCACATATAAAGAGTGAATATCAAGTCACCATCCATTTTTGTGATGATTACATCATCGCCGAGTCTTTCAAGTTAATTCACACCTAATTACCACGCAATGTTATCATCTGCTACAATAGTGCATTAAATGGTCACTTCAGCCAAATGACAAAACCGTATATCTTTGCAGAGACGCTCTGTTGTCTATTTATTAAGGTATCCTTTATGAATGGAGTCTAACACAACAGCTCTGTGAAAAATCTGGCCTTCTTGTGGTCTATGATGCTCAAATCTCTGACAATACTGAATACAGACAGCAGGACTAATACCGAGCTCAGAAAATGGCAACAGAAAGTATATTGCTGCCATTTGGCAACATAACTACCCAAGATATATTTTCAAACCACAAACTCTGGCTACAAGTTCCCCAGGAATCTGCGGAAGAAATGATTTAAGAGTTTCTTTCAGCCTTTGATATACTGGATGTTTCAAAAGACGGTAGCTGTATAATTTGACTCAATTGGGTAGTTTGCCTTTACTCAATCATACGTCCAGCCGTGATTTAAAGCGTACTTGGAGGCAGGAAAAAAAATAAAATGATACAGTGAGTTATGTATATGGAGATGTATGCCTACATTTTACACAGACCGTATTTGGTAAGCAGTCCATTTCACGGAGTATATTTACAGTACAGTAAATGGTCAGACTGGTTAGATTGTTACACACTTGTTAAAACAGGCAGAAATGCAATTGGATGTCTCTGAAATGTACACAAATGAATTTCTCTAGAGTTAAACTATACAATACATCAAAAAAATAAAGATGTTTCACTCTAAAACTGCAGTATTTAAACCTACATTTTCCATTTTTTCAAATATCAAAGAGTATTTTCATTCTTGTGGGTAAATCATGTGAATATAATGAGAGGAGGTTATGATTTCCCCTTCTGAAAAGCTCTTGGCTGATATTGATGAACACAACACTGGAGGTTTCCCTGACCTGTCTTTCACGTTTACGTGTAAGAAGATAGTATGTTTTCTGTTTTGCAAAGAGAGCACAAAGCATGTTTCGTATACATTCAGAAGTGCATATATGTGCTTTTCCCCCACTCCTGAATTGAGTGAAAACATAGGTGCAACAGTTCACCTGCTTTAATTCACACTGACGGGGCCAGGCAGATGCTGTTCGACAAGATGTCAATCAAATAAAACGATACGAAACCTTCTTCCTCAAACCCCACCTATCCATGATATTTGGCAACAATAACTTGGCTAAGGACCTAGTTCTTAAACGCAGCACACCTGCAGCATCCGATACTACTAAGTCAATAGCTGTTGGTTAACAAACTGTCGCTGGCAACAGCAAACTACCTTTCTCAATCCTAGATGTTGTTTTAAGGAGTTAGCCCCACAGTGAAACCGGTGAAACCGGTATAAATATGTAAACAAGACCAATCACAACATCGTCTCCGTACATTTTGGAACTGATACAAACGTTCCGTATCGGACCATTGCTGCGATGACTATATGTAAAGGGAAACATAAGACGTTCCATGGACTTGATCAGATCATTAGGATGATTTTGGACTCTGTATATTTGATGTGATCAGTATTGTGATGTGGGTTGAAATGAATGCTTTGTCTGTGGTGAGCTGGGCTACTCACTGTGAGTGGCATCGTGGTCTTTTTCTAAACATGATATTATTTGTGTGTACTTGGTTGACTCCAGATGTTGATTTTGTTCCCTTCCTCTGTCATTATCGATGAGCTTGATATAGTAAATTCCTGTTCCAATAAGTTTTAAAATCATCTTATTTTAAATATAGAGGCCCTTCTATTCAATTCTAGCCATATAGAAGGTATGACAGCTACCGGTTATTCTTATGAGCTGTGAGGTTCTTACCTATAAATGTGTTTGTATGTTTATGTATATGATATGTATAGATGAGCTTTTCTTAATATGCGTTTGTGAAGTGGGTTGTACGGTTCACCGGTATTACCATGTGACTATTATGTGACCAGAGCGTATGTATTTAAAGATGGCATCTCTGTTATTTCTTAGAAGTCTGAAGATGAGCATTAGCTTGAAACAACACTTCTGGATTCTGCATTGCTGCCTTATTTTGGTCCAGCACCGACCTTCACCGGTTTTGGATGTGCGTGACCACTTTAAATAGTTTGACAAATTGCTATATTATAGATCATTATGTGAAATCACAGTCAGTGTGAGGGCCATTTTTAAGCATATCTGCAAGTTCAGCCTGTGAAAAATATGACCAAGATGTTAAAATGAGGAAAAGCTATGAAGTCACATCATTTTTCTTGCAGATGTTGAAGATAAGAACATCACCAGTATTACCTTAGTTAGAGTATAAGGCGGAGTAAGATTTTGGGATAAAGTCGGATAATCTCTGTTTTTCAGGTCCAAAGCAAAGACCGAGACAATGAATAAATAAATCTACTAACAAGTGTTGATATAAATCTGTGTAGCCAATACCAGATTCATCTCCTATGCTTTCGTTCCATAGAGCTCCATTGTTGTTCTGAAACTATTTAAACGTGCTAGACATGCTGCCTCACTGTGATGAACATGAGCACTGTAGTTCATTTGAAGTCAGTTCAAAATACACCGTCCTGCTATTGTAAATGCTCACTGGAGCAACAAATGGATATGAATCTGAAGCTAAATACACTGTAGTACCCAACAAATATTCAATGTACTCCCATTTGAGTGATGTTTGCTAGATACTACAGAGCACTGTGTTTAAAAAAAATGAAAGTACATACCCATGATCAGTTTTAAAGATACATGTTTTCATTAGGATTGAATGGTCTTGGTGCTCAGAGGTACAGACAGCAAAGGGAAGTCGTACAGAAGCGAGAGACGGGCCAACACGTTTCTGTTTTTGGCCTTTTTATGAGAAGTGTTGAAAACAACAAAAATACAGAATATCACCAGCCTCATCCTTTAAGTCATCAAACGCAGAATGGCAAACAATGCACAACTTTCCACTTAGCTGCTTGCAGGTTACAGGAAGAGAGAGAGAGAGAAAGAGTTCATATTGATACTGAACACAGCTCTGTGGACAAAGAGGACAACGTGGCATGACCGACTCTTGTGAACAGGCGGCACCAGCTCTGTTTTGGCAACATTCTCTATAAGTCAAAATACTGTAGCTGATTTTGGTTGATTGGGTCCACGTGTAAATATTTTTGCTGCTGGCACACCTTGGAACCGAATATTCCCAAGAAGAATACACACAGCAGCGACGCCGCCTTCCAAAAACAGCAGTGAACCGCAAATAATTATCAAAACAATGATAGTGACAGAGCCAACACCTGAAGTTGCACACTGGCTCTGGTAAATGTTGGAGTGAGGGATTAAGGACAAGGAAAATCAGAGAATTAATCCTTTGTATCGTTTGTGTAAACACGTTATTTCAGTCAGACGGAAGACCCTTTCCTCTGCTCTCTTTGTCCATGCAAATGGTGGCCACAGATTTCCCGGGTGTGGTCAGGTTGGGGAGCCACCAGGTGATAAAGGAGGAGTGAAATTTGTTACAGAACAAATATGGCCTCTAGTGAGTGGCCATCATTTGCATCCTCATTTGATTTCCAATGTAAAGTACACACAAAGTCCCTTTTTGGCTTTCCTAAACAAATGGCCTCCTGACACAGAACGAGGGAAGAGGGAGGGGGGATATGTGTGTGTGTGTGTGTGTGTGTGTGTGTGTGTGTGTATGTGTGTATGATTTGTCTTTCATTTTCATAAACCTTTCCTTTTTTAACAGCCTCCATCAGTTTGGAGAGGAGCGTAGTACATCCCGGACCGATTAAATAAACTGACCAATAACATCCGTCAGATAAAAGTTCTGACTTCTTTACAGCCGAAATGTGTAAATGCATAAAGGAAACAGATCGTTTCCATCAGCAGACTTATTCATTTTCACACCACCGCCGTGGGGAAATGTGAGCCGCTCCAGGAAACATTTTAACACGTAAACACCCGGCATGCTTCATCTGCAAATATTTTCCTTGACATTGTCACTAACAGAGACAATACAGCAGAATTAGCAGTGATGAGGGTTCACAAGATAAAAAGGCACAAAACTTAAAAATGAATACAAAAATAATTAGGAATTCTCATCTGAAGTGAGCACAGAAAAGTTACAAATATATATACAGTATATATAAATAAATGTGCTATTTATGGACAGGGGGGTTGCATTTTTGGAAGATTTCTTTCCTGCTGAAATGATGAACTTACATTTCTTGCTTTGGTGATCAAATGTTCCATCTATTATATTTTGTGAATTGGTGAATTTGACACAATCCATCAGACTAAATTGTGAGTAATGACATTTTAAAATGCTTCCTTTTGCCTAAATGAGTTAAGTGTAACTTTGCGCTAAAGTAAATCAATGGTTTAGAATTTCACTTGGACAAATACTGTAAGCTCTTGTTTTAGAATTTTTATAGTGAGAACATATTGTTAAAATAATAGTTTGGAATTTTGTAAAATACGCTAATTCGCTTTCTTGCACTCATGTCTGTACGCTAGATAAGACTGACACCTGGTTAGCTTAGCATAAAGACTGGAAACAGATGGAAACAGCTAGCATGGTTCTGTCCAGAGGTAACGAACTACCAGCACCTCTTAAACTCCCCAATTAACACGCTGTATCATTTTTAATCCATATAAGAAATGAGGTGAAAAATCAACTCCTGGCAAAGACACGAATAAGTTACTCAAAATGTCGAGCTATTCCTTTAACATGATTGCTGCTTCATACAAAACATGCCTGTTTTTCCGTAGCTAAACATATATAATCTGATGGACACCTTTATCTGCACCTCTTTCTTGAAAGTATATATTTTTTGCATGAGTGGTCCCAGCTGGAATCAACCGCCCTGCTCAACCCTGCACTGTCAGTTCCAGGCATCAGTCACTGATCTACTGTCCAACGCGCTCTGCTTTAATGCAAGGACCCTTTCAATATTCCCGTGGCCGTGCTTTAGGTCCCGACCCACTCTCTGGATACCACACTGGTAAAGAATGCTCGAGAATAGAGACTTTTTGTTTCCCTCCAGACGGAAACACTTAACACATGCTCATGGCTGCTGCACCCACATGCAAAAGAAAAAGGAGCGCAGTCTGTAAGGCAATACACCAACCAAGAGCTGGTGAGCATAGTTCACACTGTCACACACTTATGAGCACAGCTACAGGATTTCATGCTTGCTTTTCCAGATTAAATAACAACGTAATGTATAATGACTTTTTAAATAATCTCCACTCTAACGCTGATTTCTTAACTACAAGCGTTCAAAATGTATTCTGTATAAAAACTAAAGTCGATTGTGTTCAGGCTTCAAACCGTCTTTAAAAGATGGTGTCACACGTGCACATTTCCATGTCTTTCTTCAGTTAAATCACAGCGCTGGAGCAGAGCGCTCAGGTTTCCTCTCTCATCACCTCAGAGAGAGAGAGAGCGAGGCCTGGTGTTAGCCCCGTCCTGCCAGGAGCTGACGGGAAATGTTTATTTTTAATAATAATTCAAAACAGTGGGGCCTAGCGCTATTTGTATAAATTATAACTAAGTGGTTTGGCCTGGAGGTAATCCACAATGTGCTACTGGGGAGTCATTACAGCCTCAGCAAAAATATACTGTTAGTGATAATTGGTCGACAAGAAAGTGGATCTTCTGTCTGTAGGGACTGTCTGACACACACAACTTTGTCGAATCAGTCTACAGTGAAAATATCGGTCACAGTTGATGTCGATGCAGTGTAATTTGACAACCATTTTGTTGCGTCAGATAAATTTCATGCAATCCTAATCCCAGAAGACACACCCAAAAGGCATGCAGCCACAATGGCATTAACTTTCACGATGTGAGAGTGTGTGTGTGTGTGGGTGTGTGTGTGTGTGTGTATAGAGTGAAGAGGGCCCAGCTACTGTAGCAGGATAGCTGTGTCTGTTGAACTGCAGCCAGGGTAAGATTTCCAACTGTCACTAGCCGGCCTACTCACTCACTCACACCTCGCAGCAGATCAACTTTATATCCGCTGTAAAGCTGTCGACTCGCCGTAAACAGAGCGAGTGGCAAAGACTTTCCCCTGCACCTGCACTGTCTCACAGTGCTGTCACAGGGCAGCAGAGGAGGAGGGAGCACAGCAGGACGACTGTCTTTAGTTAGCTGGGAAACCTGTAACACTTTCAGCTTTCCAGCCACTAGACCATCTTAATACCAACATACTCGTTCGTGACATTTGAATAAATCAGCATGACTTCCTATTATATTTCCATTATTATAATATTATATTTCACTACAAATGTATTACAATATTTTCCTCTGCAGTTTATTTTTGAAGACATAGAGGCTGAATATACTCTCATATGGAAGCTACAACAACAGCACTTCTGGTTAAATCAGTCCATTTATAAATGCTTATGAACATTTTTACATGAAGAGCCTTTGTTGTGTTGGACACTGTCGGACAGTTACGGATTGGCTACTTGTGTATCTCAATTATTTTGTGTTTGCAAATGTAAATTGCCCCTTGACAGATAAAGTATGTTGATTTGCATTGAATTAATATATCAAATTAAAGCCACCTTATCACTAAGCTACCTGAGTGAAGACGGAGAAATTGCTCCTTCCCTGCGTTCGTGAAACAGGAAGTCTGACTCCATTGGTGCTCTGAAGAAACTGTTTGACCAACTAGTGACCTTTTTGTAGTTGGAAAGTCCTGTTGAGGATAACCTACCCCTCATTGCGGAAGATGGTCCGGAAGCAATCACCAAGGCTCTTGTAGCTGTTGGGGTCACTGGTTCCCCTTTGGATCTGGAACCTGCAATGACAAAGATTTCATTAAAGCTTCCACACTCCCTTTCATCCCCCGTGTTTTCCCGCTCTGCTAAGATGAGAGGCTCCTACCACCGAGTCCTCCCAGCGCAGGGGAGAACTCAAACATTTATTTAACCGAACCGATCCAATTAGCCAACCAACTCCCCAGGACCAGGCCTTTTGCAGCAAGCTTTTCAACTACTAACATGCTAGTAAGCCAATTGTAACAGCTCTTTAGTTACGTGTAAATTTTTAATATGATGGAGCCAGTCGAAGGACCTTTTCTTGTATAGCAAACATGCTGGTACCTCCCTAATAAATGCTGGTGAGCGGTGTGTAAATCTTTTACGTGAGAGACCAGTTGGGGGTGAAAGAATGAATATAAACGGTGCCTGTTGGAGATGAAGAGTTTTAAGGTATTGAGAGGATAAGAAGAGATCTCATTATATTCTGCCACATGGTTGAGACAACCAAACGCCAACAAAACACCATGTTGAACTCAATGGTCTGATGATATTACGCAGTGATATTAGACCCAATAATTTGAGTGATTAACAAAACACAATAAACTAAAGCATGTTTCAGAATGTGATCGGTGATAACTCAAGGAATTATTTGGAAGGGAATCATTTTCCCGCAAATAGTGAAGTAACATCACAGATTCTTAGGTAGTAACAGAAGTAGAAAAGAAGAGAGCAGGAGGGAGTGGGACGAGAAAGATTCCCTCTTCATATGGCTTCACTGCCAGGTCACAAGGTCAGCAGTAAGTCGTCCATGCGAGTGCCTGATGGGGCCATAAAGGGTCCCCAGGTTCCAGTGGAGGGGGACTTTAGTGGGGTGAGCGGACCTTTCATATCGCTAACAGATTAACATCTCAGAGGGGGTGTCCCTCGAATCCTATTTGGTGGATTCCCAAATAGCTTGTAACCCGTTCCTAAAAACTAGTTAAAACAGCATAATAAATAGATGTCTGACACCATATTAAAAAGAAGAAGAAAAAGAAGGACTTGAGGTATGAGACGATGGTGGAATATAGGGTACAGAGGGAGGTGCGGGGGGGGGCCAAGGACCCGTAAGATTTAAGACTACTTGGGCTTGTAAACATATTCAAATCTGGCTTAATTAAAGGCACATGATGCTTGGGTCAAGGATGGAAGGGATCCTGTCCACAGTCTGCACCGGCCTCCTTTGCTTTGCCTGCCTCGACCCGAACCGGCCCTGAGAGTGTGGGGTTGGCAGGGACGTGGTCCAGTTCAAGCCCCCTGACTCCACTCGTGACCCCGGGGTCACCTCATTTCCTCATGGCCCTCTTCTACCCTGCCATAAAAGCCAAGGACCAAACAGCAAGGCCAAGGGAGTGGGAGATAATAGGGAGGAGCAGAAGAACTTGTGGCAGCAGGGGAACTGTCAGGGCCCTGGCATTAGCAGCTAGGAAGCTGCTAATGTCGCTTTACACAGCAACCAACGGTGTAAAATAAGATTAAAATCTTCAGTCTGTCCAGTTTGAATGTTCTGTTTTAGAGGATGTGTACAGACAAAAGGCTCTAGTTTCTGTTTATAAAGCCTCAGTGAGTAAGAAGATATACTGGTTGGCTGAAGAAGGGCACAAGATGGCCTCTATGGCAGAGTCCCTTGGCCTTGGAGTCAGCCAATGCGGATCGTAAACGCTGCAGACAGAAGAACCAAAGAAAACCCTGGGGCTTCCTTAAAACACATCGCTCAGAGCAACCCCTTCAATCATCAGTGAAAGCTAGCGGAGATACAGTTTACTCAGAGGTGATGAGATCTGTGAGTTCATCAAGGGTACTCCTTTCGTCTCCTACCCATATCCCACTCTCTCTGCGTTTGTGCTTTACAGGCCCAGAGCTGCCCAGGTGAGGGTGAGGGTGAGGGGCAGGTTGGTGCTTCTGTGAACGAGACAAGCACTCTGGGGTAAATAATCCTGAAGACCTCGTCCACCTGACCTCCACTGCCTATAAAAGTACAAATTCTAGGCGTCCACAAAGAAGTCAAAAAGGTAAATGGGGGCCGAGTACCAGGCTAGAGCCCCATTCTTTGTATTTTTATGGACGGGAGCGCGGCGTTTGAGGGCCTTACAAAGCCATGTCCGCTCCCAGACCCCAGTGGTAATGGGCTCGAACGGGGGCCCAACAAGACGGGCTGTCACCCGACAGAGGACGAGATGTTGAGGTGAGGCTCATTAATGATGGTGTTAAAAAAAAAAATGCCTTTGGAAAAGGAGAAGGGGGGGTTTGATCAAAAGGCAGAGGTTTGATGGGTCTACTTTTAAAAGGGGCCGGCCATGGAGATTTAGGAGATCTCTTTAAAAATATGCCCTCAGTGGCACATTTTGATGACTTGCTCACTTTAAAATGTAAGATCTAATAAGGCTGATCATATTTATGGCTATTCAGACAGATTGACATATAAACTAACACTCTATATAAAGAAGTAATGACCCAACCTACAACAGGTAAGTATATTATGCCATCTATTATGCTGTAAGATTTCAAATTGTGCCATTTTCTCCAAGTATGAACATTATGATTTATGTGTGTTGCTGTGTATTTGGACTGGTTGCCACAGTGAGAGCCTTGATCTACTCATGCCTTCCCTCTAGGAATGCCAAGTGCTTTGACGAAAAAAATAAAATAAGGAGAGACACAAAATATATGATTGAAGAAAAAGAAGAAGTGAATCACCAAAGGGAACAGCTGAAAGTTCAGCAATTTCACATGTTAGATCTGAAGTGCATAAGACAATCCAAAGGGCAACATAAAGGGGGAATCTATTTTTACAGCCAGACAATTAATTTTAATGAGCAGGATCATAAAGATGGTAGAAGTCCATTGCATTGGTACATGAGGTTAAGAGCACTTTTCCTATCCTAAATGGTCCAACATGGCAAATGTGGCAATTCGTGTCTTTAGCCATCCAATCAGGCTTCAGGGTTAAAGAGTGGAACCATAAACAAAAAGGGTCCCCTTTGGATGAAGTGGCGGCTTGTTCTCACATAGTGGTTGTCAGTGCTGACTGACAGTCAGTGAGTAAAAAGTGCTTGACGACTAAAAAGAACATAAAACAACGAGTATGACACTTGATGTCTGAGCACTGAGGGTTATTATTTTTATTTATCTATTTTTTTTTAGTACACTCCAGATTGTGATGACATCCAGCTCTTGCGCCTGTGTGGTTTGCACTTATGCAAGTTGCTTTGGACAATAAAGCGTCAAATAAATATGATGTATTAATGTTGATTTCAACTGACCTCCATCCTGCACAAAAACATGGAATTAAACAAGTGAGGAAAACATATATTGCTATATGGAATCGATGGCAAAACTGTTTAAGGGCAAAGTGTTTGAGCATGGCAGGAGGAGGCCAATAAAGACAGACCCGCGTTGGAGAGAGGAATAGGAAAATAAAGTTGAGGGGAAGAAGATGCAAGATGGGAGCAGAGGGGAAGTGATAAAGCTTTGGCGCTTGTGACACGGCAGGCTGCCAGAGCTTGATCTGGACCAGGCCAGGTTGGGTATCACCAGCACCACAAACCTACTGAACTTGGGACAGCCCACGTTATGAAGCAGGTTGTGGTGTGGATATAAGGGAGAAAAAGTTCCTGGGACCGTTGAAAGTGCTGCGACACTGCTCTTTCACTCTGGATTCTTTCTCCCTCTGATAAAACCGACTCCCTTGATTCCCTATGGTGACGTTGGGACCAGTTTGCCGGTCCAGATGTCTGCTCATATACTGTGACCTCTGTGACCCGAGATCAGGCTGTGTTAGTGTGTTAGAGCAGGAAAAGAGCTGCATAAAACAGCATGAGGACAGGCTAGGAAGGGGCAAGACTCAGATGTTTTCAGCATTACAAACTTCTGGTTGACTGACAGATCACTCTATATGTTAAGAGAGGACTGCAGCAAATTAAGAAAGCTACTAATGCAGTGGAGCAGATGGAAAAAACGAGTACTTTTACCGACATATTCAGTAAGTGGCTGCATAACAGAAAGGATTTCTTGGGTGTTTAAACTGGGGTCTCTTAACCTCTGCCAAATGCCGTTAACTGAAATTATGGTGCTAATGTTTGAGCATTGTTTTAATTATATGTATACTGTATATAACATTACAGTTTAACAGATATAACAGTAAAAGTAACATAAAATAAATTGTGTATCCAAAGTTCTGCAAGTATTCCGCAATTTCAATGTAGGAGACGGTTGAAAAACAAAAACAGAAGCCGTGACAGATGACGGCAGGCCAGACAAGCTAGGTCAGGACTACCCGGTGATAGACTGGTCCGGGCCAGCGACAGTAACAGGCACTTTGATGTGAGGAGAGGCTGCAGGATTTTGGAGCCTTCCCTGACAGCAGGTAACCACTGGCTATAACACAGCGCGCTCCAGACAGAAGACAACTGCCCTGCATGCTTCCAGAGAGAAACCCGAGAGTCACCGGTACTTCACTAAATCCAGCTCCTTGTTATATTCTTTATTCTATATGTTTGTTTGGTCACACTTATTTAGACCGGAGCTGTTAAGGCAGACAGTTGGGCAGAATGTAGAGAAACTATCTTCCAACGATTGACAGATAAAGAGGTCTCTAAATGAAAGGCTACCACTGCTGTTATCTTTCTCTCCATATTCGTTCTCCTTTCAGCTTCCCATTCATTGTTTATCTGACATATTCAACTTTTTTCGGGCAAATACTATACTACTCTGTCGTCAACTGGTATTACTGAGGAAGAGCTCATAATGAAAACTTAAGGCCAGTTCAGATAGTCACTTTTACTGGACACGGACCGGATCTTGTACCTTAGATCCAGTTATTTTAAGTGCATCATGAGTGACATGAAGTATTATGGTTCCAGTTAGTGATGCAGACCTTTGAAAGCAACGACGCAAAAACCATTTTCGGCTATCGGTCTGACGACGGATAAGCCTCTGGGGCGAAAGGCCGTATTTCTGGGATTCTGGTGTAGGCAGCAGCTATCCGGCCAAGACTTTT